CATTGCTATAATGATCCTTTACAAGGCATTCCATCAGTGCTTACATAATCACAGTGTATCACACTCCCTGGAGCTTGTTTGGATTATGAACATTATTCAGCAGTCCTTGTACAAATGCTTGTTCTTATTTTCTCAAAACAGACTACAGAGAGCTTCTTCTACTTTTTATGTATGTCCTTTAATTTTTTAGATAAAAATAACTTTAGTTCAGGCACAAATGTCCCTTGCCTATTGAGTGGAATAAAATAGAATTCTGGATCACAAAACTCTAGAACTTAATGGTTCTTTACCTAGACAGTCTTAGGGAACTATTCAACAGGGTATATAGGGGAAATGACATAGGATGAAAATGTAGAGGGCTCTTCCCAGTGATGATTCTCCAAAACTCTACAAACATCTGAGAGGTGCCCCTTCATCATTTCATTAATAATCATTGCCAAGGTGAAGTGTTGTTATTGATCAGATATCCCCTATCATCCAAGAGAGTTGGAGCAAAAAAGTTGAGCCACTACTCTGATACAGTTATTGAGTAAACTCTTTTTACAATTAAGTTTCCTTAGAAAATGTTAATTACTTATTTAAAAAAAATATATGTAGCATGAATCCCAGAAGTTAGAACTAGATGAGTGTCTGTTCAGCCCCACAAATCAAGGACAAAAACCCAACTAATATGAATTTCACAGGGCATAGCAATAAAGGAGTTTTAGCTTGTCAAATTCTGGTGTAAATTTTTTTCTAGAAACATACAAATTGGGAATAAACCGATATTAAATCTATTTGTTCCACATGATAGTCCCAGATAAAAATTTACTTCCCCTTGAAATAAGGATTGACAAGAGTAGCTTATCCTTGTATAACACTTAATGCTGTTAACGTTTTGGTTTGTTTTATAAGAATTTGATAGGCATTATGATGTCAAAAGCTTTCCACTACAAAAGAGCTAGTAGCTCTTTTAGAGACATTATCTCATGAAATCCTCAAAAAAAATCACCTGTGGTACATTAATATGCTCCTTTTCTAGATAAGTAGACCAAAGATTAATAATTTAAATCAATAGATAAGGCTAAACAGTAATAAATTACAAAACCAGTATCCACTATTTAAATCCTTGAAGTCCAAATTCAGGCAGATATTTCACAAGTACCTATGTCTTTACATAACATTTACAAGTAAATAAGTTACAAAATTAGATACAGACCTTTACTTCATAATTTTAACTTTAAAATTAGAATGAATTTAAGATTAAGATGAATAGTTGCTTTAAGAAAAGAGTTATAGAATCACTGATTCACTGATTTTTCATCTATTATCTCCCATATATAAATTTTAACCAGAGATTGTGTGTGTGTGTGTGTGTGGTGTTGGGAGGAACTTGTGCATGTGAAGCAAGCACTCTACCAATTAAGCCATATCCCCAGCCCCCAGAGATTCTTATTGAGTATCTCAACCAAGTAGGAATGTGGTACTAAATGCTACTTGAAATGTGTTTTTAATTTTTTACTTTTAGAGGCAGTATAATTCTTCTTTCTTCTAAGTAAAAGGACGGATATAAAGGGATATTTCTCACAGTTATTATTAAAAATTTCAGTTGCCATTTCATCATTCTTCCCTGAACGGATCCATTGTCTTGTTCACTAGAAGAGTCATCACTGTAACAATCCAGTCCTGTGCATTTTCACAGGTATCCCAAGCATCAGGATAGCAATTACAACTAGGTTAAGTTCACATTAGAAATTATGTGTAACAGAATCTCAGAATTTTGAATTCTTCTAAAATTATGTAATTTGTTTCAAGAGTTTTGTCATTTGTTTTGATATTTCCTTTTTATGCAGACCATCAAAACCCCTATTAAAATAGGCAGCCATCAGCCCTGGACCCTGTCAACCAACTGCAGACTGGACTCTAAAGCACAGGGTTGAAAAACAACAAGAAGGATCCCAATCAACTCCCTCTCCAGGTCAGCACTGTTCACAGGGTGATAATCTTATCTGTGTCTAGTATATTCCATTACAAAGGTTCCATGATAGGAGCAGTACTGCAGATTTTTATAGCTAGCAGGAAATAGCTGCAGAAATATCCACCAATCTGTTCACCCACATACAAAGGCTGACCTTCCACCCTGAATTTGCAAAATTGAAGAACAACATTCCTTGACCACATAGCCCAGTGATTTGAGTTTTCCAGTTTTGTTGTTCTTTTCCTTTGTCTTGGAAGAGACCTTGTCAAATCAGAATGAAAAGAATGTTTGAAGCGTGAGAAAATTCAAATTTCCTATTTAAAGCCTGGAGTTCATTAGCAGGAGTATACTCACTTATTTCAAGGGTCACTGGTTTTCACAGTAGAGCCTGTCTCTCTGCTACCCAAGCCTTACACCCTTCACCTGAAAGCAGTTTAGAAACGCCCTTAAGTCTATTAGCTTTCTATGGGGTCTAATTCATCTTTGCTGTGCTTTGTCTTGTGACCTTGTCAAGTCATGGGCCCTGCTTTGATTATGTGCTATCCCCTTATTCTTGATCACTTTTCAGTTAAGTAATTGTCTCAGTTTAATTGATTGAAATGCTTAAAAGTTGTTTATATTACACTGCAATTTTCTTTTATCAATCACACATGATTTAGGTATTTTATTATTTATGGCTCAATGCAGAAATTTTACCCAAACAGTCTTTTCATTAGACATTTTTATTGGACTATTTTTACTGAATACATGTTAATGCTAAAATTGAAATTTTGGCAAGTAAGAGAAATTGTGTGTTCATGATATCATAGAACTAGACTGGTAGCAAAGAGTTTTACATTATAATACTAAGAGACAGAATGCAATGAGTATAGACCGGATCTGTATTTAGATTCTGCATAAAAATATGCCAGTTCCTGGGACCCTACTGACCTTAAATGATCTCATCTATAAAGTGAAAATACTAACATAAACCCTATATAAATTCCCTGAAGAAAATAGATGTGTATATAAAACATAAGATACTTATATCTAATGTTAGCTATTGTTTATTTTAGTTTGGCCAATAACCAGATATGTCAATTTGAGAGATTTTTGTTTCTAAGTTCCTTTACTAAATAAGACAGCAAAACCAAATAATTAAAGTACATGTATGAAGACACATATTGGTGTGAACATACTTTATATACAACCAGAGATATGAAAAATTGTGCTGTATATGTGTAATAAGTATTGTAATGCATTCCTGTCATTTTTTTAAAAAAATCAATTAAAAATTTAAAAAAACAAATATTTTCTATTTTTTTCTGTTAAAACTCACTTAATAGGTAAACCCTCTCAATAGATTTTTCATATAATTTTATACTAGCCAGGGTTTGCTCATGATGAAATTTTCCTAATGAGTAATGATGACATTAGTCGGAATTTGGACAGTAATGTGAGGACAAGGTGACAAAAACAAAACGGTCGGTAGCAAAAGTTTCAATGTAGAATACTGGGACAAGAACCAAAAACAAAAAGCAAAGAACCAAAGCAAAAGTAATCCCATTTAGAAGTTAAAAACATAGATTAGTAGTTAAATAATCTGTTAAAAAAAAAAAACTTGCATTCTGATTTCCTATCAGAGTAAATGAGTGATCTTGAAAAAAAAAATTACTAGAAAAGTTTTGTTAATTTTAGCTTTATCAACCCAGTAGCAATGAACATAGCAACACCTAGCTCTTCAAGTTCCTACCAAATTAAAAAAGCATTGAGAGACTAAATAAATTAAATATGATCAACTTTATAGTTGTTAATTATTTACATTTATTTATAAGACATTTTTAATATTTGTTTTATCTGCTGTGCCAGAGAAACAATTTAAAAACTAACTCCCAAGTTTATCTCTCATCAGGTTTTATTTTTGTTTTTATTTTGATACAACTATATCATTTTTCTAACTCCATTTTTCTTTTTCTTCTTTCTTTTTTGTTCTTTTCTCTTTTTTTTTATTAACAGCTCCACTCAAGCCGCATGGCCCACTTGCCCACAGCTTGCTGGAATTGCTTGCCTGCCAGGTAGCTCTCCTCCCTGTTCCTTGTGCCCTGTTGATCCACCCAGGAGTGAAGTCCCACATTCAAAGCCTCCAAAAATATTTTTCAAAAACAGATTTTTAAGTCATAAATTATGTTTAATAATTAAAAATAAAGAAACAACACAAAAATCTAACACTTGTAACTCTATAGTTACATTTACAGACGTACCTGTGGAGATGTGTATATCCTTTCTCCTTTTCATGAGTGAGGGGCCAAGATATGTGAACAAAAGAATTTCCAAACAAAATGCTTGTATAGGTCACTCTTTATCTGGAAACTGTATTCTAACTTTGTAATAAATAACTGTTAAGTAAAAACCACTATATAGATGGGCTAGAGCTATGACTAAGTAGATTCCAACTAAAGGTCATCCTGAAATTATGATAAGAAATAATAAAAACAGTAATATATTAATAATAACATCTACCTTCTTTGTGCTATAAGGCTTTATGTACATTATGCCTTGCTTAGGAGCGCACTTCTTTTGCATTAAACTGAGAAACTATATTCATAAATACTAAACTTAGATCATTTGAATTTTATATAATAGTCTGATCCTATTTATGATGGATAACTAGCTCAGCTAAAACTCTATAAAATGACAAATCAACCACTTTTTAGATAACTAAAAGTATTAAAGCAAGACACTATAAAAGGAGTCCCATTTTATTCTAAGCACTGAATATAACCTTTTGCAAAATTTCTGATTCTCATTTGAGAGCCTCACAAAACCACAAGACTTATTCAAAGTTTGTTTGTACATAATACCTCCAAGGAAATGTTAAGGAATTTTATCACCATTCCTACAAGTCATTCTCTTTCCAAGCAACACATTCCTCCAACAGTGCAAAGCCCTATTCCAGGCAAGAAAGAAACAAAACAAACAGGTGATGTCTCCAATTTTAGTGTAATAATCTGTAGGGTCAGTGCTAAGAATCAAAGAAAATAAAGTATACTACCTCTTACTCAGATATTTTCAACACATATTTATTTATATTTATATTTATATTTTTCTTATATGAGTTGATAAACTGGGATACATGGTAAATAACAGGTAATGGAAACTACAGGGAATCTCCTAAATTTTCTTAAACATACTTTCTCAAAAGAAGGTATAAGATTAATTTAAACTTCTATTTTGGGCTGAGGATATGGCCAGTGGTAGAGCACCTGTTTAGTTAGTATCCTAGGTTCAAACCCCAGCACCAAATAAACTGAAGTCTTATTTTATATCCTAGCAAAAAGATTAACCAAACACAACAGAATAAAGGTAAATGAAATGACCTTTAACTTTTAAAGAAAAGTTTATCTTCTTTAGGATTCTCACAAGAAACTCAAAGCTCTGTGAAAGCCTGACTAAAAAATGACAAGGAAGGAACACTGCCTTGGGTGACTGTTTTCAATACATAGGAATTTTTAAAAAATACCAAAGACACACATCAGAAGGAAAAACCAAGTGTCTTACTAACAAGTGGCCAAAAGGAAAACAAACACTGGTTAGAGATAGAATTCTGAGAACACAGTTGTATCCATTGGAGAACAGAAACAGCCACCATACCCTTAGGGTTATTCAAATCAGATAATAAGTGGCAGAATTTCAACCAAGCAACTGAAGGTTTAAAATGCAAAATAAATCTCCAGCCAAAAGTAAAAGAGAAAGAGAGAAGCCGAGTATGAGGAGTAGCAACATGGTTGTTGATATTGGAGGAAACTACTCAAAATGACAGATTTGTATGGCCTCCCATTCTCAGAGAAGTCAGGCAAAATTAAGTTGGCTGAATACATGAGTAAACACAAAAGTGAATCCCACTTCAGACTAATGTGAAGGAAGAAGGAAGTAATCCCATCACTGGGTATAGAGTTAAAACCCTCAAAGTTACTTTTACTTTGTTTTTACTTCCTCTTTAAGCTTGTGAATCTCAGCATAAAAGAAGTTTGATAGAGTTGAACTCTATTTGATAGAGTTAAAGCCAACTAACAGGAACAATGACATATAGAAAAAAACTATAAAACCAAACATGAGCAGAAGCTATATCAATTCCATCTTGCTACAGGCTTTGGTGAGGTTACATTTTGTTTTGGCCCAGGTCACTTAGCTGACCAGGTCTTGGAACTTTAGCATCACCTCCTGTTTCATCTTGGTTGCTGCTCTTTCTTCTGCAAAGTTTCCTTTTCCTAGATTTTGAGAAGGTCTGACAGACACAGCTTAGGAAACGACCAAAGCAGGGTGGTGGTGATGCCAAGGATGTCACTGCAGGTGAAGGTGGCCCAGGTTCCTGAGCCACTGAGAGCTCACAGGGCTGGATCTGACATTCCAGATCCATCACACAGGGACTCTTGTCCTGCTGTCTCTGTACCCTGTCCTGCAAGTAGAAGACATAAGACATAAATTTAAAACTCTCAAAACTGAGACCCATACGTAATGACATGATCTCTGAGTGAGTTCTTTCATATTCCATCTGGGCCCAAGAATCCCAATTTGTGTCTCAAGATCTTAATCCCTAAATCCTCCTGTCAGATGAGAAGCTGTCATTTTTCTTATGGAATAGTAACAAGCCCAGGATCTTGCCAACCCATGCCTAATTCCTACCTCATGGTGAAAGACAGAATCATTTTCGGTACTGTGTAGGGCTGGTGTTTTATCTGTAGTTTCATCTTCTTCTCTTTGTGGTGGTGCCAAAGATGTTAGAAGACTCGGGGGGCACTGGGCCTTCATTTTCTCCTTCTTCTTTCTCTTTTTCATTCTCTTTGTCCTTTCACCCTTCTTAGGATGCCTATGCTTTTTTGGACGTGGGTCTTGCTTTCCTCTCTGGACTGGGAGCACAGATGGATCTTGTGAAATCTTATCTATATGACTTTGAGATGTCCCCTCTAATGGCTCTAATGATGATTCCATACTTCTTTTCAGAAGGTCATTCTCCCAAGGGTGAAGTCTATCCTATGTATCATGAGTATCTGGTAATATGTTCAAGACATCAATGACACGCTTGGGTTTAGAGGATGGTAATTCCCAACCTCTGCCACTAAGGGTTTTTTTTGACCCACTATGGTGACCACAGCCAGTTTCTCAGGAATAAGGAGCTTGCAACAAAAGGACCAAGAGTCAAATGCTAAAGGAAGTAATCAGTACCATGAATCTTTCTAATAATGCATCAAGTGGGTTGATCTCTAATCTCTCCTCTAGACTTATCTAAACTTTAATGACCTTCAAAAATAGAGTCCTTGGGTTGTTCTTCTTGGCCTATGGATAATAGATTTCCTAAAAGAAGAGAGAAAGTTGCTGTAATTATTCCATGGGCACAGAGTCCTTTCTAATCACACATAACCCATGGTTCACTAAAACTGCCAGATCTAGCATAATCCCTGGGCAGAAATAGCATTTAACAACTTACCAAATTTCCAGAGTAGTAGTCCTAAAAGTAAAGAAATTCTCAATGTATGTAAAAATCATATGGGGTGCTTATTAAAAATACTGATTTCTAGACCTACAATTAGAATTTTTCAGGTTGCATCAGAAATTTGCACTTTTTCCCAGTACTTGGGTACTTTTTATACATTCTTAAATTTGAAAACTACTATTTTAGAGAGAGTGAATCTTGTATCCTATAGGACCATGAGGATGACTATTCGTAAAAAACAAAAAAATCCCTACAGATCTTCCCTAATTACTTTAGAACATATGTTGTCTCTTCTGAAATCCTTTAATCATTATCAAAAAGTTTGGTATTTTACCTCTTATTACTTTGTATTATAATTTAACTTCTAATCCTTGTAACTATATCATCTAACCAGATTATAAGCTTCTAAAGGCCAGGATACTTTAGACTCAAATAATCTGGCTTATAGCAAAGCTCTTTCCACAAAAGAGCAGAAGGGGGAGAAAAGGACTTTCAAATTAAAAGAAAGGCTCTAAAGGAAGAAGAGATTAAAATATACCTGCACATGTAGACAGTTCGTTGACCCTTAGACATTAATAAAAACAACTAGCTAGCTGAATTCTAAAAAAAAATTCATCAATTTATCTTGGGAGAGAAAAGGGGGTGCAGGGGAGGCTCCATATTTTCCTATCACACTAGGACAGCAGGCTATCTAGTCCCTTTTTGACCATGACTAATACTACGGATAGATAATGGTAAAATTTTTGTTGTTTATCTCCTGAAATTACTGGGACCTGGTGAATATAGTGTCATAGTACAGAGTCAGTGAACAACATTTCAAGTAACTACCAGAGGCAAATGAGGATAGAGATAAAACTCTTAGGTCATATAAGAAGCTAAAACCCTCCCTTCTAATCCAAGAATGAATGAAAAATATTCTGAATATTAAAGACTGCACAAGGTTCTGAGGACATTTTTATTTGCTGGGATTTCTGAGAACCATGAGTCCCACCTAGAATGTTCTGTACTATTCTTGTTTCCACCTAATATGGTGTTCATGTCATTATTATCTTCACATAGTAGGTGCTTAACAAATATTTTTTGACTAATGGACTAACAGATGATGAGTAAGTGAATGGATTAATGAATCAAATGCTTTCAAAAAACTTCTTGGTTTATGGCTGTAGAGACTAAAGAAGGATTGGTCAATTCTGCAAAAGAATATCTAATACTTTTTGGCTACCTTTCAGAGATGCTAACAACAGCTTCTAGTAACAAATGTCAATAAAACTTTCATGAATGAATTACTGCATTTGATGGAGGCCACATAAATTATGTGCTAAGTTCAAAAAATATTACTCATCATAAGAGATGGTATCTGAGTACACACTTTACTTATTAATATACTAACAGTGAGTTCTTTATAATTAGGTTTAGTTCCATGCTTACCTTAGGAAAGTATGATAAAATCTTTGAGATTGAGAAAGGTCCCTATAGATCAAAATATAGGCTTAAGTTCTATCTATTCTACCTAAAGCAACCATAGAGGTAAAAATTATCAGAGCATCAACTATAAAAGCACCCAAGAAGATGGGAGCAGCAGTAAGAAAAAGAAGTCAGCATGACAAATTCAAGCCTCTAATAGTTAAAACCTTGCTTCTCTACCATCTTGGCAATGACCCTGATTCAGGCCTGACCAAGGTTCTACCCTAAAATCTGACCTCTGTTCTCTTTCAGATTCACTCTGTCTTAATGGAGACAGAATGATGGTTCTAAACTGAATCTGACCATGTCACTCCGTTGTGTAAAACTCTGTTCCCTATTCCCTCTAGCAAAATCACACTCAGGTCCTTTGTGATCTAATTCCATACCATCTGTCCAATTTTAACTCCACTTCTTACCCTCAGACATTTTATGCTTCTGCAAAAACACACTGCTTGTCATTTCCTGAAAGCACAGTACTTTTTTTATACACTGTCCTTTTATTTGCAATGTCCCTTGCACTCTTCACTATCTGGCCTAGCTATAATATCAATTTTGAGTAGCCTTAATTAACTTTCTCAGGCAGAAAAAGCATTTAGAGTCTTATATAATATTCTATACCTACAACGATCATGTCACTGAATTATATAAGTTGTTTAGATATCTATCACCTTCACTAGGCTCATAGCTCCCTAAGGATAGAAACCCTTTCTTGATCATTACCAGATCCCTGGCATCTCCATAGTGGCTAACACTGGAAGGCATTCAGTCAGTGTGGACACTTCAAAATGCAGGTCTTGATAGGCTGCTTCCCAGAATCTGGGTTCTAGAGGCTAATCCTCCCCCATATTTGAATACCTCTCTGAACGAATGAATACACCAGAGCCTGGGGAACAAAGCTGAGCAGTTCTATCCAGAAACTCAGAGCTATCAGTCAAGCAAATAATGCAGAATATATGATAAAATAGCTAACTTCACTCAGGAAAAAAATCTGGCCAGGCAGTGGTTAACACCATTCAACTGAATTCTATCCTAGAAGCACTTTCCCATTTACTTCCCCTAATACTTCCTAAGGAGGTCCTATAGTTATTTAGACCTCTGACTCCCTATGAACCTACCTCCTTTCTGCCCCCAGCAGACTTCCAAGTCTTCCTAGATTCTCAGCATCCCTTGACCATCGCTACCTCTCTTCCTTGCTCAATGCAGAGCTTCCCTCAAATCTCAGAGATCCCTGAATTTCAAGGTTTACTCCGAATCACCTATCTCATTTCCATAGGGACATGCCCAACTCCACATCTTGACTCTTATTTTTAGTGTCCCTACCCTGAGAAAATTCTTCCCCAAGATCTAGATTTTAGATATCACATGCAAGGATGATATATTCAATCCACTTGGGTCTTCCTTCAGCCTAACAAGATACAAAAGAGGATTGGACCATGGTGAATCTAACAGAATGTGAAACACATGATTACCCTTGATTTCACACATCACAAATAACTGAGTATACAATACCTATGAATTCACATGTCATAATTTCTCTCCTCAACCCTGTTGCACTTTAACTTTCTTTACAATGGATTTTTCCTTATTTTCACATTTCTTTAAGCAGAGAATATTAAAGCCCTTGGATGAAACTGCTGCCTAAGCAGATTTAGAGCCAATTTAGAAGTCCTAAAAAAACAAACTCTTGGCCACTGAACTTTTGGCTGGTCCTGAAGCAGAGACTAGATTCCACTAATCATTATTGACAGTGAAGTGATTATGCTTCTTTAAAAATAGGAAAGAAATGATTGGCATGAATCAACTTTGCTTCTCAGTGACTCTCTAGAGAATCAAATAACTGAAGCATCAGACAACAATTTTCTTTGAAGATGACCTTTCTTTCATATTAAGTGAAAGGCTGAAGTGTTAGTCTCAAAGGGAAAGAAAATGAATAATCTGCAAAGGCAACTACTAGTTCCTAATATACAGTGAAAAAAAAGTAGAGAATAAAATGTGATAGTAAACATCACAGATTGTTGCATAAGAAATGAAATATATTTTATATTCTCAGGGTCACATTGAGAGCACACTATGAATCAGGCACTGGGAAAGGAGCTCTTTGAGCTCTTTGATATGATTATCAAGAAGCTTACACTGATCAACTTAATTTAAGTCAGCTCTTTTTGTAACTTTAGCAAGCATCATAAACACATGCTTTAAAAAAAGATAATTGGGCCCACCTCTACTATTGCTGACTTATAGTGGGTCTTCGTCCAAGTGAATTTGCATTTCTAATAAGTTCCTAGGTGGTGCATTTCTAACAAGTTCCTATTTCTGGAGACTGCACTGAAAACCCCTAAATAAGATTATCTCATTTGCAAGATAAGACACACTAAGTCAGAACAGGTAAAAAAGACAGGAATTCCTAAACACTTATTATCACCAAATGTAACCTGTGTAGGCTCTGAAAAGGTTGTCTGCTAGGTAGTAGTATCCAGCCATGCCACCCACCATCTATGTTTTGGGCTTTCTGGAGGATACCTTGATACTGTACTTGACTACAGGTCTTTCTTCCATGGGGACCTCAGACCCCAACAGTTCCTCTTCTGGTTTCATTCTTGAAATGTCAGAAATATTCTCTAACAATTTAAAAGCTAAAAATGCATGCATAACTATGCAACAGTTTTGCTTTTCTAAATAAACTATTTCTGTATTATGTCTTTATTATGTCCGTGCTTTTTTTTCTAAAATTTTATCATTTTAAAACTTTACCCCTCTGGGCTGAAAATCAGTGCAGAAAAAGAGATGTTGTAACCTTTGATTTAGCCTAATAAACTAGTAACAACACTATACTCTGTGGGTGGTTAAATCTGATAATATTTTGTGCTGAATTTTCTGTAGTGATTCAACTAAAAATCCTATTGGCCAGCGACTAGAAAGCATTCAGATTGCCAAAGTTTTATTTTTATTTCATATTTAGTCTTAAAATAGCCCATATTAACTTGGTGTTTTTATTTACTAACCTAAATACTTCAAGTAGTTTATTCCAAATACAATTTAGGATAACTATTTATATTTATGTTGTTTAAAAATCTCTGCTGGCTCACAACACTACAGTGCTTAAAATTCCCATTAGTAGGATAGAAATGCTAATGAGAAAAACAAGATGTTATAAAAAATGTATTATTAGAACCACTGCAATATGACTGCTTTTTATAAGTTCTTGGGAACTAATTCACAACTGCCTCCTCTATGCCTTTCTTCAACCATCAGGGTCCCTAGAAAAGCAAGTCAAAGCCACTCAGAATCTCTGAATCTTTGGTCACATGTAATACTTCCAGGGTTCCTAGCTAAGGAGTCCATGATCCTGGCTCTCTCTTCATATTTTTTCTAATAACTGCCATAGAGCATTCCAGAAAACATTAGCACTTCCTTTTTTAATCATAAATTGCTCATAGCTTCCAAATTCTTAGTCTATAATTTTTCATAAAATTCTTTTGAGATCCTCTGGTGAAGATAAATGGCAAGAATTATTGGACTTTAAATTGTGATCCTTCAATGTTATATGCACTGGATCATAACTCTATGGCTTTGGTTCCCTCATAAAACTAAACCACAAAGCCATTCTTTTCATTTCAAGCTTTACAGCACACAGGCCCATGGGTGAAGCAATATAAACACTCTTGAGCAATTTCTCAAAACCAAATCTCCTCTGCAGAAACAGACTTGCAACTCAGTGGTGTATAATCTCTCCTCTGAACCTGTGAAGTTTGTAGTTCTCAGGCCACCCAAGTAGAATGCTGAGAATAATGTTCATGTGTTGAAATGAAAAAAGCATATGAACTGTCTATAATTATAGTTCTGGGGTTTAGTCCTATCTCTGCCACTCTGTTGCCCGAGATGAGTCACCAAATCAGGTTATTACTTATGACAAGGGTAGAACCTTAGGTATACAGAAATTTTTCTTTCACTTTAGTGAAATTAACTAAAATCACTAGTTCATGAACACTTTCATAATTAGTTTATGAACTGCCTTCCTTTTAATTTATTGTGCTAAATGTACATTTTTAACACATAGTTCTTGGGTATATAACTAGGAAATATGTACATAAAATAAAGTATGCATATGAATGTTCTTAGAAGCACCATTTAAAAAAGCAAATTCTTGGGGAAAAAAACAAAAGTCCATTGTCAGGATACAGAAGTAAATTCTTGCAAGGGGATAATAAATAATAGTCAAATAAAGAAATTTGATTGTAAGTCTTAAGATCACTATTCTAGAAAGGGTCCTGCACCATTTTCAAAGAGAAGGAATGCAGGAAGGAGAGGCCAAGAAAAGTCTGAATAGAGAGGCATTGCTGCATTACCCTTCTTCAGTCATATATCCAATTAGAGCATAATCTTTTTGTCCAATCATATTGCCACACAGGTGTCTAAGCTTCTTCAATCCTAAGGTTAAAAATGGATAGTTCTCTCTGGGTGTTTGGGTCTTCAGTCTAAAGGCTCCCATGACATGTAAAACTATAATTAAATAAATTTGTTATGCTTTTTTCTAGCTAACCTATTTTTTCTCATATAGGTGGCAGCCATGACACTTACTGGTGGGCAGGTGAGTGATCCCTTTTTCCATACTTTCACAGAAATCCCTTCTACATTTGTCAAGTGAAAAGAATAAGTTTCTCCTTTCCTTACTTACCTCTCATTCTTCCAACTATAGACACACACACACACACACACACACACACACACACTCATGAACATACCTATTTTCTTTGATATTTTGCCTGCTCTTCAACTCTTCCAATCTAGATTCAGATTGAACACAGTAAACAAGCACAATCATTAGGCCCAGGATTTCTGTTTTAGACATTAGGAGAGAAACAGGCACAATTTAGTTAGATGATAGCACTTTAAAGTTCCTCTAAGAATTTTTCTCAGAATTTCCATTAAAACTGAGATCCATTTGCATTTTATTACTTAAAATCACCGAAAATAGGAAAAGATAACCATTTTCAGAACCCACATAGAGTAATACAAAACTGTAGGATTAAATTTTTAAAATGTAATACAACCTAACTAGAATAAAAATGATTAAACTACAGTATTTGAAGCAAACATTTTGAAGGAGATATTTTACATTTTTTGAATTAATTAAACATAATAAGTGCTTGGGGAGGTCCTAGTGGAAGAAGCTGAAACATGAAAGTAGACCTGCTCACCAGAGAGGACAGCCCAACTGCAGGTGCTAGAAAGAATGCCCAGTCTGGCAGGCAGAACAAAGCATCTGAAGAATATGACAATAAATGAGGTGATAATGCAGCCAGGGAACTGGCATCAGGAAGCTAACATGAAATAGTGGGAGTTCACTCAAAATGTTAGCCCAGCATGGTGCCAAGGGATCCAGAAGCAAGACAGTGTTCCAAATTATTACAGGCAACATCAGAAAAACTAATCTATGATAGAAGAAAATGAATCAGCTTGTGGAAAAGGGGCTGGACCCTGGCAGCTGAAAGAGAGAAGGAATGGCAAGTGTAAGGTTAGATCTTAGGGGTACTTAAAGGACCTGGGCAAAACTGACCAATTCCTAAACGAGGAACTCAGTCCTGGATAATGAGAAAGAATGCAGGTCTAAGAACTGCAATGTAAGAAAGAAACTGATCCAAGGAACAAGAGACATATATGATGTTGACAGACAAAATCAGGAAAACCAGACCTATCTATATTTTCAATATTATTGCCCTGAAACTTTCTAAATAGGTAGATTATTCTTATTTAAGCCACTTCCTTTTATTTTTGCCTGCACTTCAAAAACCACAAAAAATGATTAGAAAAATCCATGAGTTTGTTTTAATGAACCTGACCTACAGTAACAAGATTGGTTATTTTTGCTGCCCTGTCCACAGTAGATTAGGAGGGTGAGGGTGGGGGGAAGGAACACTTTCTTATTTTTTTTTCTGTTTTTCATTAGTATTTAAATTTAACCTATGTGCTATAATTAATTTTTATTTATTTATAACCTATGGGAATGAATTGCCTTTTCAAATTTCTTCTAATCTCAGATACAAAGACTTTTTCATGGCCTTGTCCTCTCTCTAAAGGACAATAAATATGTTTTTCAAGTCTTTGCCATTCTTCTAGGAATAACAACTTCTAACATGGCCCCAAAGCACTGAACCCTGATAATTAAAATGCAATATAAAAGCTACTTTTTGTATTTTATATTCAGTACACCATTATGATTTACTGCCTGCCAAAAAAGTAGCACACACCCACAAATGTCTGTCATATTCATGATCCAATTCATTTGGGAGAAGAATCACCACAGAGGCATCCTAGCAAGCCAAGGATCTTCTCTCGAAGTATGAACACTGATAGAAAGAAAGTAGTTTCATAAACCAAACTTGCTATTTCTACTGCACAAGTCTATCCCTTAAAAGTGCAATGACCATTGGAATCCTGGACCTCTAGAATATACAGATGCTACAGCTATTACCAACTGGCAAGTGTCTTCAAACTAGATGTCAGCATGTCCTAACGAGCAAGTGATCTTTCACTGAATAGATATTTATGAGCAACTCCTCTGGAATGCTCCAAAGCCTGATAATTTTAACAGCTGTGTGCTACAATTAATTTTTATTTATGCTTTAGATCTTCAAGAAAGATATTATTTTTATGTATGACAGACTCATATTTCATGTTTTATCTCAAAGTAGTTATAAGAAAAACATTGATTTTACTTTTGTTTTCATTTTTATTTCATTCTCAATTCATCTTCTCTGCCATCTGTATTCAAACCATCATGCTGCCTTATGTTCAGTAAGCAAATATCATAGCTCCTGCAAAGAACCATGGAGGAAAAGCTAGAAAAGGCATCCATGGATTTTCCCATACATTCTCAAACCCTTAGGTTTACAATCTAAATTAAGACAGTGACACTGAGGTCTCAGCAGTCTTAATGCACCTCTGTGGCCCCTTGTGGGCATGTTAATTTCATTCAACAAATGGTAATTAAATGTCCACTATGCATATGGTACTATTCAAAATTTCTGAAATTAAATGATTGCAAAATATGCTTGTCCAGGTCCTTTCAGACTTTATGATTTTATAATTTAGTAAATCTAGAAAACATACAGACCAGAGAGTTTTTGTTTTGGGTGGTTTTTAAATTATTATTATTCTCTACAGGTGATATTATGATATCGAAAGGAAAAAAATCTTAACTCAAAAGAGTCAACAATAAGTGCCAAATAAGAGGCAAAGATTTCAAGATTTTTTAAAGAGAATGCTTTGAATGCCAGATTTAAGAGCTCCATGCAATAACAATGGTTCTTAAACACCAGCATGCATGAGGGTTTATTAAAACATGTCTCTGGGTCCCACCACCAGAGTTTCTAATTTAGTAGATATAGGGTAGGACCTCCAACTTGATATTTCTCAGAACTCTCTAGGTAATGCTGATGCTATTAGGTCAAGAAATACATCATTGGGTTCAATGCTTCAAGGAAAGCCATCATGTTTACTTCACAGAAAAGTCAACCAACAAATATGATGAAAGCAGTTATTTGGGGAAAGTTAATCTAGAGATAGTGGGTAGAATCAACTAGGAGGAGGCTGACAGATTTATTGGAGGCCCCAGAGAGGGTAATATCTAGACCAGAAGACTAGGATTTCAAAGAGCAATTGGCTTGACTGGCACAGAATGGCTATTTGGGGACTTTAGCTTAAAAGGATTCTTGGTGCATGAAATAGAACCTTGAATGAGTCTAAATTTCTACACAGAAGATAAAGATACCTTTGGAAACCACATCTAGCCTTAACATGGAGCTGTCCAGACTATCTAGATATGAGAGTTTCAAAAGCCTATATAAATATTTGTCAATTTTTTCACAATACTTGAAATTTCAACAGTTTGAGTCACCACTTTAGGTTGAAATGAAGATTTCCTAAATTCTGTTAAAGTTATTAGCACATTATCCTGTATCTCAATTAGAAACTCTTGTTGCTTCTGTCACAACCAGGAAACAAAAGTATATTTTCTCTTCCAATTCCAGCTTTAAGAACTTGACTCTCTAATGCTCTCTTTTGTAATGAATAATCAGATCTTCATTCACTTTAACCAGTAATATAAGACACAGAAATCTCCACAGCTTTTCTACACGGAGAGGAATGTTACATGCACATCAGCAAATTGAAGGTATGCAATGGTTATCAAGTTGATTTTGTAGTTTCCCTTAAAGAGATCCAACTTTTGTTTTATTGTCTCAAGTCAGCCATCCAAGGTCTCTTAGCATGCACCTACCCCCACCATTCACCTTTTTCTTAGTCTTTTCCCCAGGCCAAATGTCTCAACACCTTTAGCAACTTTATCCTCATCTGCCTTTCCTTCACCTCAAACCCCAAAGCCATTCCTGACCTCACCCATAAAGTTTCAGAATTTCAGTCCAATAATAGAGGAATCTATCTAAAGTCACACTGAGCATCTATTCATAAGACCTAAACCCTCCCTGCTTTGTCACCTGTTCTGGTAATTCATAGTATATACCAAAGATCTCATCTTCGTTTCTTGATGATATGGAACCTACTGACTCTGAAATGTTTCTTTGTCAGATTGGGCCTTGTCCCAACTCATTCTCCAATATTTAAGAGTAAATTTATATAGCCCCTGTAATCTACCTTACCCCTTTCTAAGAAAGAGGAAAAGAAAATGTGACAAAGAGATTTTAGTAATGATCTTTGCTACTTATTGCCCAAAGTATAACAATACCAAGGAGATTCCAACCAGATTCCCTAGCCCTGCTTTACCATCTCCTCCAGTTTGCCCATGTGAAAAGCAGGGTCTACACAGCCCTGTTTTGCCCAGGTCTTTTAGATTTCTCCCCCATTTTTCCAGGCACTGGTACCCCAGGGAGAAAAGAGGAGCTTTCTATTCTAAATTCTAGTCAGCTGGCCTGAGATTGGCTTGCACATTTTGTTGCCACTTTGCTAAGTGATTGGCCTTGGGCTACATGATGAGGATACATAAATGAATTAAAAACAAATTAACATGGTTCATAGTGTCATGGAACTTTCTGTCTAGTAACCAAGTACCATTGCCTTGACCTAAGATTTAGACAAAAGATCAGAAAAATTAACATGGAAATAAGAAATGTGCAAGTCGGCCAGAGGTTATTTTTTTCATAATCAATGTGTATCTCAGTGTGTAAGAAATCACCTTAAATACTACTTAAGAAAAAAAAAAAAAGGATTTACACCTCTTGCAGCATATTTGATGGCCTAAACAGAAAGGCACTTCTAAATATTTTGTTATGGTGTAATTAAATCTCCCTTGATTGTTGCCCCAGGTGTCCTTCCCTCACCGAAATATATCATTAAAAAAGCTCCCACATCTTCTCTCTCTACCCCATCTGTTGGGAGCCAGCGACCGCACCCTGAAAATGGCGCTGGCTTCCTGCTTCTGATGACTCAGCGGTTAGAGTTGTTAGAAGTAAACAACTCCTTGTAAGGCTGTGGGGCTGGGCTCTGGCCTGCTTCTGCTGCGCTGTACCTATTAGACTCTTCCACGTAGTGCTGGTTCATTGTCAAGGCTGGGTACTTAAGCTAGGGCAGACCCACTGCTGGCGCTCTCGCGCGCTTTCTTCTCTTGTTCCTGTTTTCTCATCATGATTCAAAGGTCCTGAGTAAACTGCTGAAAGAAGAATCCTGTGTCGTGTTTCCTTTGCCGGCGAGGGGTCACGACACCCATCTACTGTAATTCATTTTCCTCCATGTTTGTTATCCCATTCCCCTCACAACCTCTGGGAGGGTAGGGGAGGGGGGATAGTAGAGGATAAGAAAGGTAGCAGAATACAATAGTCACT